GCATGTTGGTATGTGTATGTGTATGTGCAATAATAGCAAATGTCTACCAATTGCAGTTACGTTTTACGCTCTTCCAGTTAATGTCGTTCTCGGCGATTCTCATCACCTGATGCGAGAGTTGGTTGCCTTGATTTTTATAGCTTATATGCTATATATGCAGATGTGCTCTTTTTATGGAGAGATTATTAAGAGTGTGCATGTGAGAGCGCATGTGCATATGTAAACATGTCTGCATATGTATGCAGGCATGCGAATATGAATGCTTACATACATAAGAATAGTGTCTCTACATAAGTATGCATGTATGTATGTACGTATGTACTCATGCATGCAAGCATTTATGTATGTAGACATGCATGTATACCTTTACATGTACAAATGCATGCTTCTGGACATGACTGTACATAAATAAACATGCATGCATGTGCATTCATGCATTTGTGTACACTTACATTGATGCATATGTGCGTATATGTACATATGTGTGAATGTATGTATGTGAGTGTGTGTGTACATATGCATGTATGCATGCGTGTACGGATGTAGGGATGTATGGATGTATGTATGCATGAATGTGTGTACATCATGAATGAATGTATGTATGCATGAATGTGTGTACATCATGAATGAATGTATGTATGCATGAATGTGTGTACATCATGAATGGATGTATGTATGCATGAATGTGTGTACATCATGAATGGATGTATATATGCATGAATCTGTGTACATATGCATGTATGTATGGATGTATGAATGTACATATATATGCACGTATGGACGTATGCATTCATGCATGTATGTATGTGTGTACATATACACGTATGTATGGATGTATGAATGTACATACATACATATGTGCATGTGTGTGTATACATATGCCTTTATGTATTAATGTATTCATGTATGCATGCATGTATGTATGTATGTAGGTATGTGTGTACATATGCATGTATACAGGTATGTATATATGTATGAATGAACGTCAGCATGTCAGCAAGTATGCCATGTCAGTATGCGTCATGAAAGTCAGCATACGTGCATATTAGCTTCAATATATTCAGGCATGTATGTTTATACATATGTACTAATCCCCTGACATATATGTACATACATATGTTTATCTCTGCATTCATCGACATTGATCAATTCACATGTCTCAAATATAAATTTATGTGTGGTTTTTTATTTATTTATTTTTTAAAACCCTTCTTAACGCAAATTTGCAGATTTAATTAATCTCGCTTACCGAAAGGAAAACATATTGAAATTTATTTTATGCCGCCACCGAAGCAGCTCCATAAAATATGAAAATTGAAAATGAAAGAAAATCAACAAAATGTCCACCATTCAATTTGCAATGATTAAATCAATAAAACACCTTATAAAAATAAAATCAAATAAGATTTGTGCGATGTATTTATGAGTTGCGTTGCTCGTGAAATCAACGAGTAAACATTTACTTTAAACAATTTAAAAAACAAATTAGTCTTAAATATTGAATATTAATTTGAGGAACATAAAAATATTAAATAGAGTTAAATATAAAATTTTTAAGTTGAATTAAGTGAAGCTAAAGAAGTAGTTAAAAAAAAAATGGATACAAAACGAAGAATATTGCAAAAAAAAAANATATACATATATACATATATACATATATATATAGTCGGAATTTCGAATCCTGATGCTCGTTACCTAGTTTTCTAAACATAGCTCAAGTTCTTAGACCCTAAACCAGCTTAAAATTTAGTTTCAGGGTATATTAGTTATATGAAAATTATATAACACGCAAAGGAAGGCGTGGCAGATGCCATAAAATGAGACCCAAGTGATATGATTATTAATTTGTATACCCCGAACCCATGGAAAATGCGATTTCAATGTATATTGGCCATATGAATATGTAGAGGAGGCGTTGATCAGGATGATAAGGTGAGCCGATACAGTTAAGTTCGTCTGTCCTTCTATCCGTTTATTTATCCATCTGTTAATCCGCTAAGAGTATGTAGTAAGAGTTTTTCAGATAATCTATCCGATTTTCTCATTATAGATCAAAATCGATAATACTTTTTAGTTATATAAGTTTAGTGTGAATAGCAATAAATTTACTGTGGGGGTTGGTCTGCCAAATTTGGTATAGCTTGAGCTTCGGATACTTCTTCTTAACCTTTGCTAAACCTTTCTACCTATACCTCCCTCTCTGTGCCTAAAAATTGCAATAAAAAATCTTTCAAAAAAAAGTAGAGCTATCAGACGAGTAGACCTTCGCTTCGGTTCAGGGTATTCCCTAATCGGGTACTCCCGCTTAGCTCACGCACAGTTCTATTTATATACTACTCTAGGTCTAGCACTCCTCAATTATTCGGTTAGATAAGATTGATTGCTTTATCACATATTTCCCACTAATTGGCTCTTCTTCGTGTATTTAATGGTCACAGATATGATTATGCCTATTGGGCCTGTTGACACTTCCAATTTAGTGCCAAAGCTGTTTCGGCTCGGCTTATCATAATACGAGTACAGAGTAATGCAGATAAACCACAAAATACATTCGCATGCGAGCCGTCTAAGCAAACAGTTGTCATAACATGTGCAAAGGCAATAAAAGCGAATAAACAGATCCGAAACAGAACCATCAAACCAGTTGGCCTAGAAAGTGCGTTTAGAGATTCCGAAATGCCGTACGGTGTTTGTACACAGAAACAAATATGTTTATGGCTGATCCAAAGAAATCAAATGCTTCTTTAGTTATGAATTTTCGATTTGAGGAATTTAGCCCTCCCCAGTGCATGTTGGTATGTGTATGTGTATGTGCAATAATAGCAAATGTCTACCAATTGCAGTTACGTTTTACGCTCTTCCAGTTAATGTCGTTCTCGGCGATTCTCATCACCTGATGCGAGAGTTGGTTGCCTTGATTTTTATAGCTTATATGCTATATATGCAGATGTGCTCTTTTTATGGAGAGATTATTAAGAGTGTGCATGTGAGAGCGCATGTGCATATGTAAACATGTCTGCATATGTATGCAGGCATGCGAATATGAATGCTTACATACATAAGAATAGTGTCTCTACATAAGTATGCATGTATGTATGTACGTATGTACTCATGCATGCAAGCATTTATGTATGTAGACATGCATGTATACCTTTACATGTACAAATGCATGCTTCTGGACATGACTGTACATAAATAAACATGCATGCATGTGCATTCATGCATTTGTGTACACTTACATTGATGCATATGTGCGTATATGTACATATGTGTGAATGTATGTATGTGAGTGTGTGTGTACATATGCATGTATGCATGCGTGTACGGATGTAGGGATGTATGGATGTATGTATGCATGAATGTGTGTACATCATGAATGAATGTATGTATGCATGAATGTGTGTACATCATGAATGAATGTATGTATGCATGAATGTGTGTACATCATGAATGGATGTATGTATGCATGAATGTGTGTACATCATGAATGGATGTAT